ATTTACAGAGATTTTGGGCTTCCACTCATTCATTGTTGCACTATTCTCTCTACCCTCCTCCCAGTTTGTTCTTGTCCAAATGCCACAGTGCTTGTCAAAAAATGTTGGCTTTTCAGTTAGTAACGGAATGTGCTTAGCCTCTGCACCACTAGAGCTCTAGAAATGTAAAATGCTTTTGTGTACCATTGTGTTGAAACCAACTCATAGCTTACTTTCCAGCAGATTTGCAGTGCAGTAAATTACATGAGAGGAGATTGTTCACATTTCTTCCCCTGAGCAGCTGGTGGATTTGAACCGTGTACCTTTGGGGTGGTAATACAACTCCTTGCCACTAAGCCACAGAGCACCCTAATAATGTATAATGGAAATATGAAAATACGATTTCATAGTTTACTAGGGGAAAATGGCAGTCTGAAGTGACTGAGAAAAAGTGTCAGGCTTAGTTTCAAACTTTGATAAACCTGAATGTGAAGGATGGTTTAGAGCTATCTAAGATGACTAGAAAAAAAAAACACCGCAACTTTATCCTGTTAGTCTCCGATTTTAAATCTGCTTTATAAATTATTCCAACAGGTATACTTTATCAGTATTCTTGTTACTTAAGGGAACGTTCTCTGGTGACCTGGTGGTGAGGAGCTGTGCTGTCTACCCACAGGCACCTAGTTGGAATCCACCAGCTCCTCTGCAAGAGAAAGATGAATATTTTCTTGTTTCTCTCGTGACTTATTACTTAAGGGAACTCTGTTGGCTTAGTGGGTAAGAAGTTGCACTGACATCCCAAAGGCAGGTAGTTTGAATCCAGCAGTTGCTCAGCAAAAGAAACGATGCATAATCTCCTTCCTTGTGATTAACATCCTCTGAAAACCATGTGGAGGGTCAGCTATAATATATATATAAGCAGTTCTTACTCAAAGCAATGAACTATAAGCACTGTTTGTAGAATCAAAATGGGCTGTTTACAAATGTAAATTTTGAGTTTACAATGTTACACCATGAATTTAGTATGTGAGATTTCAGTGTTATTTGGCTTACTGGTCAAGTTTTATTGACAATGTGTTAAGATATAATTTTTGGATATCTTTCATTGGTTTCTTAGCTCTCTAATAATGAATAATATGAAGTCAGTGTATTTTATAAACTTTCTAACCTTTTGAAAATTATTAAGTAAAGTATTTAGGAAAATATTTTATACCTATGTTATACTGGGGCCTTACTTGCTTTGGAGAAAACAATTTTATATATTACTTATTTTTCCTAATATTTTATATTCTCAGTTGTTTGGAGAGAAAATTGCAATTACATATTAAATTCAGTTTCTTTTTATATTAGTTTCCCCCTATTCCTTAACAAGTAACTGTTACCAGAAAATATTTTCTGTAAGGTTTTCAATACATAAATATTCTTTTCTTGTAGACTTATATCAACAATGCTGTTGATGTCAGAGGAGCTGACCAGCCACCAGGCCCTGGCAGTGTTGGGATCACTGGAACAGATGGAAAGTAGAAATGCACAACTGGTTAAAAAGTAGTCTTTCCTTAAATTATGGTGTTAAGTTTTTATTCTCCTCCATTATCTGGCTGTTTTTTGAGAAATAAGGCATTAACACCTAAGATATTGTTTAATTATTTTCTAGCTTATTTTTCAAAATAGAGATGATTAAATTATTTATGAAATCTTTCGTTTGCTCCGCTCTTGCTATATACACACAAGCATATCATTATAATTCAGGAAAACAGTGTAGCACAAGGATTTCACTTTGCTAAAGGACAATATTCTATAGAATATTTAACATCTGCGTGAATTTTAATTGTCTCACCCAGTAGTTGTTATCTTGAAATCATTATACCATACATTGACATATTTGTTAACTAGAAATTTTAATTTAAGAAGAAAAAACTTGTAGTTCAAACTAAATGCTTACATTTTTATTAGTGTATGCTCCTTTATTTTAATATTCCTCTGCCTATTTCCTTCCGTTTACTGCCTTTTAGTATTTTCAGTTGCTTTGAAGACCTCCACTAGAGGCCCAATGTGTGAAGGAAGAAAATTAAGTTATATTTCCTACTTGTTAGTAGTTCAAGCTCAATCTCAAGCTCAAGCTCATTGCTGTCAAGTCAGATGTAACTCATACCTGATCCTCCCGCAAGAGTCTATAAATTGCATGGAAAAAATTTGCCTGTTCTCCCAAGGAACCTCCAGTGCATTAGAACCAGAAAGGGGTGCAACCTTTGAGTTAGTAGTATAGCTCTGTACCGACTATGCCACTAGAACTCCCAGTTAACTTGTTAGTAGTAACTTACTTTTTACTAAAGGAGGATTTGAAATGTGACTGATAGTCCATAATTTTATGTACAAAATAAAATTATTTTTCTGTCCTCTGTAAGTGAATGAATTGGTAATTATGTATGTTCTCATTATTTTTAGAATTGCTTCAATTGTGCATAAACATTTGGATGACTATAAACCACTAGAGTTACTGAAAATAACTCGAGCACTGATTTTTCTGCGGTTTCAAAGCAAAGATGTTTTTGTGAAACTCAAAGAATTACTGCTTCGGTAAGAGTCAATGGCAAGTGTTTACTTTTACTTCATAATCTAGCTAAAACATTTGTTTTATTTAATCATGTGCAGAATTGGGTGGAATTCTTTGAAAAAAATCAACTGCCTTAAAATGAAAAATTTATGACAGTTATCTCTCCTCATGTCCAACCTATTGATACTTGCTCTTGAAATATTTTCAAGTGTAAATGAGCAAGAAGCTGTGTTGCAATCCCAAAGGCCAATGATTTGAGGCCACCAGCTGCTCCATGGAAGAAGGATAGGCAGTTGCTCCCATGCAAGTAACTGCCTCTGAAAACTCACCAGAGGGTGAGCTATGGTTTGGTTCTGACTCTATGATACAACGAATAAGGTTAATAGGGCAGTTGACTTCCCTACTGGGTGTGAAGCAGGCATCTTCCTTTCCTGCAGGAATGCAATAACTTTGAAACGATTGGGACTGCTTAAGAAAGCAAAACTCCTTTCAGTATCATTCATATTTAGGGACCTTAATCTCTTTACTCAAACGACTCGACGGCACATAACAACAACAACAACAATCTCTTTATTGACCTATTATAAAGTTAGGGACCGTAATCTGGTCACTGGCCTATCTGAAGTAAATTTTTTTTTACTTAATTTTATAAGATATTTAAATTTTAAACAGTTTAGAGGAATAATGTTAGTTACAATGGACTTTTCATTCAAAATTTAAAATTTCTGATTTTTCCCTGGATTTAACATTAATCTTTAAACTAGGAAGTTTAAAAATTTTCCATTGGCTTTCATTGGGCTAAAATGGAATTTCTCACAAATTTTTCTTTAATTTTAAAAATGAGGGTAATAATTTGCATGAAATGAAAAATATTTTTCTCTTCCAATTTTTATTACTAGTTTCATTTCTTCTTATAGTTTCTAAAAGACAAAAGATTGGCATATCGTTGAAAGACATCTTTATCGTAAACTGGCAACTGTCAGGTCTAAAAAATATTTAAACAGAAGAATGAGAGGTGGCATTATATTAATGAGAGTTGGTATATTAGGTTTCTATAAAGACATTTACCATATAGAATTAACTTTTCTTTATTAAGGTGATTATTTACATATTATTTAGTCAACCTTTTTCTATTTAGCATGGAGTTTGGTATAAACGGCCTCTAACTTGAAAAGAAATTATATCTTCTAAATTAATTATTATAAACTGACTCAGACATATATTTTGTGTGGGTATTGTTTCTGTTGTCATCATTGAGAATATATGTAGCAAAATGTATACCACTTCAGTAGTACACATACACCTTAGTGACAGTGATTACATTCTTGGAGTTGTACAGCCATTCTCAGCCTTCTTTTCTGAATTGTTCCTTCATTATTAATTTATAGTCCCTAAGGCTAATTAAATTTTTTTTTGTGGTGGTGGTGTTAATTTGATCCCAGGAAGATAGTTCCCATAGAATAATGCTCAAGGCAGACCTGTTTTACTGGTTTCAAGAGAAGTTCAGGTGATATTTTTCATTAAAGATTGTGTAAGGTCAAAACACTTGGAGGGTTTATCCACCCTCCATGGCTTCAGAAAGTTTAGAGTCCATGCAAATTTGAGAAACTGTTCTATACCTTTTTGATCAGGATTATTCTGTAGGATCTTTGATTAGACTGTTCTGTAATGGTGGCCAGGCACCATTCAATTCTTCTGGTCTCACAGCAAAAGAGATAGTTGTTATTGAGACAGTCACACGTTCCATTTCTTCCTCCTATTCATGACTCCTATTTGTTCCTCTAGGGGAATACAAACTACACAGTTATTGTGCCTTGAATGGATTCTTGTAAACTTTTAGTAAATTTTTTTTTTTTAATTTTTTATTTTATTTTGTTATTTTTTGTGGGTACCGTCAAATCAGATCTGACTGGTACAGGAGGAGATTGTTCCTCCTTCTCCAGCAGTGCATCTGGTGGATTCGAACCGTGTACCTCTGAGAATGCAGTGCAGCTTCTTGCCACTAGGCCACCAGAGCTCGCCGGATTCTTGTAAACTTTTAAGACTCAGGGTACTACATAGTGAACTAAGAGATAGAGCACTAAACCCATTAAGCCATTTAACTTGGTATCCCATGAAATCACGACTCTAAAATGCCAAAAATCTCGTGAAGTGTTTGGTCATATTTCAGTAGCTACTTTCCCTGCCCGCCCCCCCCGCCCCTTGTATCTATTACTTTTACCAGTTCAGCTTTTTATAGGTGTATAACAGTGATAGCACTTACTGTTCAATCAATGCAATTTTTCCATCATCTTTAATCCCCTCTTTCCATCTCCCTCTGCCCCTGTTGTGGTGGTTATTATGTACCGCTGAGGTGAGTATGATTCATAGCAACCCTGTGAACAACAGATCTGAACCCTGTCTTATCCTGTGCCATCCTCATCATTTCTGACATACTTGAGCCCACTGTTGTAGACACAGTGTGAGTCCATCTCATTAAAAGTCATTCTCACTTTCACTGAACTTCAACCTTTCCAAGTATGATGTCCCTTTCCGAGTAATAGCTTCTCCCTACCAACATACCCAAAATATGAGACAAAATTTTGCCATCCTTACCTCCAAGGCGCACTCTGCTTGCACTTTCTGTAAGACATACCTATTTCTTCTTTTGGCAGTCCACGGAATATTCAGTAATTTTCTCCAACACCACAACTTGAGGGGATCAATTCTTCTGTTACCCTTACCCATTGTCCAGGCCTCAGATGTATTTATAGCAAGTGATTGAAAAGACCATGGCCTGAATCATCGTACTTTTTTTTTTTAAAATCCATTAATTGTTGCACCCGAATCAAGTGTACTGTAGTCTTCACACAGACATAATTGCTCCTCAATTGGAGAGGCCCCTGAGGGCAGATTTTCCCATTGTAATAAGTCTTTTGATATTTTGACTGCTGGTGCCAAAGGTGTAGATTGTGGAGCCAAGTAAGATGAAGTCATTTATGATTTCAGTTTTTTCTCCAATATAATGTTGTCTATTGGCCCAGTGGTGAGGATTTTAGTCTTTTGAAATGTACTTCATAAACAAGGTTGTATTTGATCTTCAGCAGCACACATTTCAAATTCTCACTTTCAGCAAGCAAGTTTGTATCATCTGCATAATGCAGGTTGTTGATAAGTCTCCTGTCCTTCGTGGAGTCAGTTTGTTTCTTCAATGATTTGCTCATTGTGCATAAAGATTGAATAGGTATGGAGAAAGGGTGCACACACTCTTCTTGATTTTAAACATTGTGGTGTTCCCTTGCTCTAGGAACTACTAATAATCTTTGGTCTTCATATATTTTCATAATAAATGAAAAATAAGATTTTTCCTCTTATGATTGGCTTATTTCATTTATTAGTAATGTCTTTAAGCTCCATGCAGACTGTGGCATGTATCAATACTTCATTTCTTCTATTGACTTAATAGTATACTGTAGTACATATGTACCACATTTTGTTTATCCATTCATCTGTTGGTGAATATTTAAATTGGTTTTGCCTTTTGGTTATTATGAATACTGCTGCAGTAAACATGTTGTACTATGTTAAGTTTCTACTTTTCAAGTCTCTTAGGTCTATACCTATGTGAAATTGCTATTCCAATTCTATTTTTAATTGGGCCATTTAAGTTTCCTCTTTGGTGAAATGTCTATTCAGGTCCTTTGTCCATTTTATGATTGGGTTTTTTGTCTTTTCATTAGGTTACACGTCTGTTAGAGCTAAAAGTTTTCTTGTGAACTCCATGGAGTTTTCTAAATAGTATTGTTGGTGAATAGCGATACTTAGCTTCTCATCTTGATATATTTTATTTCTTGTCTTAATGCTCTGACTAGGACTTCTAATACAGTGTTGTTGTTAGGTATCATCGAGTTGGAACCAACCCCTACATGACTGGTAAGTTTTTAGAGTCAGTAAGTTGCATAGGAGTTGATTGCCCATCTTTCTCTCACAGAGCAACTTGTGGATTTGAACTGGAAACCTTTGCATTGGCAGTGCAGTGCCTTACCACTAAGCCAGCAGAGATCCCTTCTAATGTAATTGTTAATATAAACGGTGCAAACAGGCTCTTTGTTCTAATTTCTAGGGGAAAGATCTTAGCCATTTTTCATTAAACATAATGGTGAATATTGGCTCACATATGAAATCATTGTGGAATCATATTGAGGAACTTTTCTTCTATTCTATTCTTAATTATATATTTCATCAAGAAAGGTATTAGGTTTTATCAAATGCTTTTGCATTCATAGAACTAACCAGACATTTTTTCCTTCATCACATTGATGTTGTATTTCAGGTTGATTGATTTTCTAATTTTGAATTATGCCTGCTCTCTGGAAGAAATCCAACTTGATCATGACAAATGTCTCTTTTAATATGCTGCTAAATTCTGTTTGCTAGTACCTTGCTCAGGATTTGGACAGTAGTGACTGAGTCTGGTTTTGATATCCATGTTATTCTTGCTTTGTAGAATAAATTAGAAAATATGCTTTTCTTAATCTTTTGAAGAGTTTAAACAGTACTGGCATCAATTCTTCTCTAAATATTTGATAGAATTCTCAAAAGAAGCCATTAAAGACTTTTTATTGTTACTACTGGGAAGTTTTATTATCATTGATTTAATCTTTTCTTGTAGCTCTGTTGAGACTTGAGTTTCATCTTGAGTTAGTTTTTGGGTCAATTGTATGCCTTCAAGAAATTATCTATTTCATCTTGAGTATTCAGTCTGTTGCCATACAAGTGTTCATAGTTTGTCATAATTTTCTATGCTTATAACAGGTCAATTATAATGCCCTCTTTTCATTTTTTTATTCTGATTATTTTTATTATCTTTTCTTTGTCAGTCTCTCAAAAAGTGTGTCAGTTTTAATGATCTTTTAACCCAGATGAAATGGATTGATACAGTGACTGGGACAATGGTGGTTGGTGTGTTGGAATTAGTGATACTGGCTCAGGACAGATAAAGGTTCAGAGCTGCTGTACATCAGGTCACAGTGGCTCGATGGCACATAACAGCAATAACGCAGCAATTCTTTTATTCTCTCTACTGTTTCTGTTTTAAATTTTTTAAAAATGTCTGATCTATCATTTCCTTTTTTATGTTTTAGTTTTAATTTACCTTTCTTCTTTAAAAATTCCTTTTATGTGTAATTTGAGTGAAAATTTACAGAACACTTGATGAACTGACAGCTGACCCAATAACTGACAGTAGCTGCGGTGATGGCCCATCTTTCTCTCACAAAGCTGTTGGTGGATTTTAAATGCCAGAGAGGCTTGGCCTTTGGATTAGCTGTGCAATTTGTTATATGCTAGGTCACGGGAGTTCCCTGTCTGTCACTGTTGTTGTAGAGCTATCTATTTTTCTCTTCAATTCTATCAGTATTTACTTAGTTTTCACTTCTCTTTCTTTCCTTCCTTCTCTGTATGTATGTGTGTCTATAAACAGTAATATTTTCTGACTAAGTTGTTGTTGTTATGTGCTGTCAGGTCACCTGTGATTCATAGACACCCTCTGCACAACAGCCCTAAACCCTGCTCTATCCCTTGCCAAATTGTCTCCAACACATCTACCCCTATTAACCCAGTCACTGAATCAATCCACCTCATTGAGGGTCTTCCTCTCCTACGCTGTCCCTCCACCCTCCCTCTCCAAAGACTGATCCCACATTGCAACTTGTCCAAAGCTTCGGAAGCCTTGCCTCTAAGGAGCAACCTGGCTTCACCCTCACGAGGATGAACTTGTTTGTTCTCCTAGTAGTCCATGGTATATATTCAATACTCTTCTCTAGCACCACAGCTCAAAGGCATCAATTCTCCTTCTATCATCCCTAGTCTTTGTCCAGCTTTCTGATGCATAGCAAGTGATTGCAAAGACCACGGCCTGTATCAAGTGCAACTTAGTCTCCAGACTGTCGACTTTGCTTTTTAGTACTTTGGAGAAGTCTCTGACAGCAGACTTTCCCAATGTAATTAATCTTTTAGTTTTTTGGCTGCTGGTACCAAGATTATTGGTTGTAGAGCCAAGCAAACGGAATCTGTTAACAATCTCAATCTCTTCACCATCTATTATGATGCTGCCATTCGTCCCAGTGGTGAGAATCTTTGTTTTCTTGATGTGGAGCTTCAATACATATTGAAGGCTGCAGTTCTTGACCTTCTGCAGCAAGTACTTCAGGTCCTCCTCAGTTTCAGCAAGCAGGGTTGCTGAAGGTAGATTGTTGATGATGAGTTTACCTCCAATCCTAATGCCACAATTCTCCTCATAGAGCCCAGCCTCTTGGATAATCTGTTGTGCATATAGATTGAAAAGATACGGAGATAGGACACATGCTTGATGCATACTCTTACATATTTTAAACCATGTAGTGTTTCCTTGCTCTGTTCTGATGACTATGTCCTGGTCCAAGTATAGATTTCACATAAGCACAATCAAGTGTTCTGGGATTCCCATTTTTTTCAGAGTGAGCCATACTTTGTTATGATCTACATAGTCAAATGCCTTTGCTTAGTCAGTGAAACACAGACATTCTGCTGGTACTCTGCTTTCAGCCAAGATCCATCTAACTGTAGCTATAATATCCCTAGTGCCATGGCATCTTCTAAACCAATCCTGTCCTTCTGGCAGTTCTCTGTTGACGTTCTTGCTGTTCCAGTCGTTTTTAGATAATTTACAGCTGAATATTGCTTGCATGTGCTATCAGTGATGTTGTTGTTATGTGCCATCGAGTCGCTTGCGACTCGTAGTGACCCTATGTATAACAGCCCTAAACTCTATTCTGTCCTGTACCAATCTCACTGTCTCCAACACACTCATCCCAATTGCCCCAGTCACAGAATCAATCCATCTCCTAAAGGGCCTTCCGCTCCTGTGCCTGCCCTCTACACTCCCAAGCATGATGTCCTTCTCCAAGGACTGGTCTTTCCTTACAAGATGACCAAAGAATGTCAGACGAAGCCCCAGAATCCTTGTCTCCAAGGAGTAGCTTGGTTTAATTCTCTCCAAGATGAATCTATTTGTTTTCCTGGCAGTCCATGGTACATTCAATACTCTTCTCCAGCACCACAGCTCAAA